CAAATAAACAAACAAACAAATAAACAAACAAGAAGAGCGTGGAAGGTTTCTCCCAAGAGTAAGGACCTCAGCCACAAGCCCCTTCATGGGTGGCTACTTGTAACAATGAGGACCCAGGCCCTGCTCCAGCTGCTTTCTGACCCAGATGTTCCCTAACAGGGATTCCCCACAGAATCCAAGGTGGTTCCCCCCCCTCCTGCCCAAATCAACCAAATCCAGATGAAAGAGCCAGATGCTCAGCCCAACCAAAACCCAATCAGACCTTGTTTGGATCCCATCCTGCTCTCACCTGCAAAAACCAGCTGCCAGCATCCAGCTGCTGCAGCTGCGTCCAGTTGAAGGCGGTGGCCTTGGCGTGGCCTTGGGTGGGAAAAACCTCCTGGACGTTTGTGGTCCGTAAAAGAGTCTCATCGTGCATGAGGAAAGGGATCCCATCGGCACTGGAGTGAAAGAAGAAGGAAACGCCTGGATCCCGGACCTTTCTTTCCTGGGGGGTGGGTGGGTGGGATGAGGGAGCACCTGCATTCAGCCTGTCCCTTACCTCACCCGGACATCCGTTTCTAAGACACTGAGGCCACAACTGATGGCCTTCTGGAAGGACATCAGGGTGTTCTCCGGTGCCAGCTGGAGAGAGGAGGAATGATGGTGAAGCAGGGTTGGTGGTGGTGGTGGTTGGGAACCCCTCCTTGAGACCCCCTAGGCGGAGCCTGTGGAGCCCACCACCCAGTTATCCAGGTGGGAATTCCACAAATCATTTTGCAGATGGAGCCACTCGGACAGCTCGGCGGGGGGGGGGGGGGGGTTCTCGGGAGAAAGAGGTGGAGCTGGGACATCTTCCTAATGTCTTTCCGAGTTGGTAGGAGGTCTTCTAGTCCACCCCCCCTCCCCGCCTGTACCATTTAACCCAAGAGGAAAAGCAGAAAAATCTCAGCAAGTCAACATGGAAAAGCTGCTGCGGTTTTAAGGACACATCTGTCTTGAAAAACAGGCCCCGTTGTTTTCAGGAGGAAGATCTCCAAGCAGCTTCTCCAACCTGGTGCACTCCAGGTACGTTGGGTTTCAACTCCCCCACCCCCCCAGTCCCTCCCAGTCTAGACATTGGGATCATAGAGAGTGAGTTCTGACACATCTGGGGAAGATAGATGAAGGCAGACCCCATTTCCCCCTAAACTACAGAAAAACTCATCCAGGAACTTGACCATTTTCCAGCTGGTGCTTCACTGTTGTTCAGGCTCTGCATCGTATAATTCTCAGGGATCTGGAGAAGCCCCCCCCCCCAGATATCCCAGCTTCCTGAAGGGCTTCTGCAGGGTCTCCCTCCTGGGAGCCCGGCCGGCCTCCTTCCAGGGCCGGTGTGGAGTGGAGGGGCAGTGACTTACCATGGGAGCCCCCCGGTGCCCAAACAGAGCCGGTTTGGGAGGAAGCTGGCTCTGCTCCAGGAAGCAGGGCGAGTCGATGCCCAGGGGGGCCAGGTATAAAGCCAGCATCGCACCCAGATACAAGACCAGGAGAAGCCCCCGGAGTGCTGCAGCAAAACAAATGGAAGGGAGGGGGGGGGCTTGAAGTCGGCTCCTGGATCCCCTCATCAGCCGTCTGCCAACGATGAGAGTTGGCTGCTCTTCATCTCTCCATTAATCCTAGGAATCTTTTCTCCCTGCCCGGAACCCTAGTGTGGGAGGGTGTGCCTTGAGTTGAACTACAGCAGGGGTGTCCAAACGTGGGAACTTTTAAGACTTGTGGACATAAACTCCCAGAATTCCCCAACTGGGCTTTCATAAAGAACCCCTCCAAATCACTCAAATGAGAGATATAAACGAGACTGGAAAAAANCTGCCTCTCTCCCTTAGCTCAAGGCTCTGCGTCGTTTCACTTAGAAAGTCCTGGATTCAGTGACTAACATTTCCAGTTCCTGAGAAACAATGGGGGAGACCCCAACATTTCTCTTCTGGACAAACTGGTTTTCCTGCTGAATCGGAGACAGTGCCCCCTGCTGGTCGAGGGTTGCAGTGCAGGAAAGCTTAAATAGCCAAGAGACTGACCCCCTTGGACAGAAGGGTAGGAGCAAGCACTGCCCCTACAAGTTATCGGCCCTCATGACAGCAGGTCCATGTTGCTCCCCGTTTCCTTGGTGGTTTGTGGGTTCCTGGGCATTGTTCCTGATAATGGAAGAGCTGCTCACCCTCATGCAGTGAGCTTTGTTGGGTTGGGGCCCACGTGAGCTGAACGTTGGGGGTTTGCAACCAGGGTTCACGGCTCAGGTGAGGTATAACCTTGGCCATTGTGGTGAAATGTGCCTGGTGGCCTTGCTTTCCTGCTTTGTTCTGGCAAAGCTCTTGGTGCATGCTGGGAGCTTTCAGCCACATTGGCCCTGGAGGAAATTCTTGGGGCAGGAGGCCCTTGGCCAAGAGAGATTTTCCTGTTTTCCGGGTTCCATATAAACTAGCTTACACTGGCATGTGGGTATGTTTTATCGCTAGAAGCAGTGTGCTTCCAATTACTCCATTTTCAGGTCCCTAATTTTTCTAATTAAGGCTGCTACCTGAATGAACTTTCTCCGCCTGACTCACGAGTTAATAGATTGATTGATACCGTTTGAATGCCGGGCTGCTAAATATTTCTTAGAACAAGGCACACTTTTTCTTGGAATAAGGAGGTCACCTGTCATGAGGGACCTCGCCCAACTAGAGTTTTCCCAATCAATTTCTGTGAACCTTTTGACCCCAGTCCATTTTAAAATCAGTATAAATTCACTTCCTGTTACATCATCACCGCTTGAAGCAAAAGAGCGGTTGCTCGGTTTTTTTAATAAGAAAAAGTGAATTATTAACACGCAAGACAGAAAGTAGCACTTTGTTCCTAAAAGAAGCAGCCTCTGGCACTCGCCTGCTGGGTGTTGTTGTTTTGCACGCTCTGCCGTTGAAGGCTGTTCCTGGAAAAAACCTCGGGGCTGAACCTGCAATCCGACACACTTCCACACGGGAAGGAATGTAGCCGTTGGGGCCAAGACCCCTGACTCACGTGAGGTTAGCCTGCTTTCCCCACCCTGGAGCCTCTGAACTCAGCTAGACGGCCAGCACACAGGCTGGGCCAGGAAGCCACTAGAGGTGGAACACGGAGATAGCTGTGCATTGAAAGGATGCCGTCCCCCCCCACCCCTCCTGCTTTATTTGGGCCGCCTGGGAGAGGAAGAAGTCGTCACAGCAGCTCCGGGTTTCCCAGCCTGTACAAAGAGCTTTATTGGGCACTTCCAACATCCCTCCCAGTCCCCCCCCCCATCAAGAAACCGTGTCCCGCAGGAGAGGCGGTAGCTCCCTAATTCTCTCCTGAAGCTCTAGCAGTAGCTCCAGGATGCGGGAAGGCTCCGGGTTCGGCTCTCCAAGACGAAATGCAGCGCGCAGCCTGCTAGCTGCTCCTTTTGAGGGCTGTGCAACAGAGGCCCCTGAAACGGATCCCAGCAGCCGCCGCTGCCAGCAGACACCAGACACGGAGGACGGCCTGTTCCTTCCCAGCGAAGCGTTTGAAAGAGGAGAGTCCTGCCAAGACTAGCGAGTTGTGGGGGGAGGGGCACAGCCCAGAGCTTTTGACCGCTTCAACCTCACTCGGACAAGAGGCTGTGGATCTTTGTCAGGAGCACATCGGAGCTGGAACCTGCAGGCGGGAGGAGACGGCTGTGAGGGGCTGGCCGGCTTCCGCTGGACTCCGCTGTGCCTTTTTTTTTTCGGGGCAGAGCAGAGGTGGGACTGTACAGAGGAAGCCGTGTTTAGGGGAAGCCATGTTCCTTCAAGGAACAACATGCCTTGCTTGAAGCTGCTCGCGGAGACGAGAATGGAGCAAGCCTCCACAAAGTTCTGATTCCCCCCCCAAATGCTGGGGAGACCCTTGTTTATACCCTCTTCCTTGGTTGCCTGTGCAGCTGATGTGGGCCAAAGTGGCATTTTGTTTCTATATCACAGAGTGGAAATTACACAGTTATACCAAAATACCAGCAGCTTTACCTCTCGAATCCTTTTTCCGAGACCGTCTTCTGTAAAGAAGTGGAGAGGGGGGGAGAAATCATGTCAGAATTACGTCAAGTGTACCTCTCTGTTCCCCAGCGCTCTCGGCACCTGGACGGGCAGCTGGGGAGCAACCAGGGTCCTGAATGCTTGTGGCACATCTGGACCAGGTGGTGTGGTTCTCCACCACCCAAGTGCACAACAGCACTTCTCTCAAAGACAAAAAGACCCCACCTGAGAAACTCGAGTCCCACGGAAACCCAGGTTTTTCTCAACCGTGGCCACTTTTAAGGTGCGCGACCTTCAACTCTGGGAATTGAAACTCTGAACCTAGAACTTCAACTCCGGGGATTCTGGGAGTTGAAGTCCACACATCTTAAAACTGCCCAGGGCGAGACGGTGCCCTCGGTCCCCGAGCAAGATTTCGGGAGGTGCTTCTCTTCCACCTTCTAGTCGAAAGGCTGGGACCCCGCACCAAGTGCAGACCTAACCCCCTGAGCGCATTGGCAAGCCTCCATAAAGGGGATGGTAGCAGCCACGCCCCTTCCTTGAGAAAGACACAACTCTACGGATCTTGCAAGCTGGGGAAAGGCCTATTCTCTCATCTCTGCTCGCTTGGTACTCACTTCAGCAGCAAGAAAGCCGAGAGAACCAGCAGGAGGGAGACGCAGTCGGCCACAATCCAGATCATTTGATAGGTGGCACGAGGCTGGGAGGAAGACCGGTGGCAGATCAGGGTGGGCTGCTGGCTGGGTGAAGCCCTTTCCTCCCAGGGATTCAGAGTGGGCTTCAGCAGACGCAGCAGTAGCCCTCCCCCCACTCACCCCCCCAGTGGTCTTACCAGCAGCCAGAGGGGATGCTGCATCTTCTGAAGCACCTGGCAGGCATTGGTGGTGACCGAAGTCGTCCCAGCGCACCACAGGACGGAGAAGAGCCACGGAGCGTTGATCACAAACAGGTTGACCGAGACGTTGTTACGGTGGTATTCCCTGCAGAAGGGGACGGGTTGCCAATAAAGCGGGGGTGTCAGTACCGGTTCACCGACAAATGTGCGCACAACAAAAGCGCGCCAACAAAACCGCGATGTCGAAATTGTGCCCACAACAGCGCACCGACAACAGCGCACCGACAAAAGCGCGCCTTCAACAAACAATGGGAAAACAACGTAATAACCCTAACCCTGAACGTAACCCTAACCCTAACCCTTAACCCTAATCGCACTTTTGTGGGCGCGCTTTTGTCGGCGCGTTGTTGTGGGTGTGTTTATGACATCGCGGTTTTCTCGCCGCGGTTTTGTTGGTGCGCTTTTGTCATGCGCGCATTTGTCGGGTCGCGGTCAGTACCAACCCATAATAGCAAACAATTTGCATGGAAGGCTGCAGCTACGAAATCCCAGCATTTGGGAGTTTGTAGCCTCCCTGTGCAACAAGGAATCTGAAGGCGACACAGTCTCTTTCCAGTTGCTTTGCTCCTTTTGCTAACTGGTTGTTGAGGGTGGGGGGTAGAGGGAAGTTACGTTGAGCCCCCTGCTCTGCTTGAGCCCTTCCATCCCATTGGTCAATCGGTGGTGGTGGTGGTGGTGGGGCTTCGGACATCTTTACTTTCCATACCTGACGCATTTCCCAACTATCCGCCTTCATAAAAGCTGAGCTGGGATTGAAAGATACAGTTGTATAAAGCTCCCCCCCCCCCGCCTTAGATGTACCCAGGATGTGCCCTGACCAGACCAAGAAAGAACTGCCTTCCCCAGCTCTAACCTGATTTCTCTGCTGCTCAGTTTTTGGTAAGCCAGGTTGACTCGTGGGAATTTTCCGGTCTTGTTGTCCAAACTTTCCAGGCCATAGATGTGCTGGAACCTGGGTGCTGACTGCCTCACATCCATCCGAAACTTATTAGGCAGCCAGAGGATCTGGGTTGGGGAAGAGAGAGGAGGTAGCAGGGCCTACTCACCGTTTGTAGGGCCGGGAGTATCTCCAGTTCTAGGACCACAATGGCCCCAGGAACTGGAAATGCCGTATTTTTCGGAGTATGACGCACCTTTTTCCCCTTAAAAAAGAGGCTGCAAATCTGCGTGGATCTTATACACTGAATATAGCATTTTTTTTGCCTCCCGAAACCCCGCCCCTTCACCAAAATGGCCGTGCATAGCTTTTAGAAGGCTTTAAGAGTGCTCCTGGGGGTTGGGGAGGGCAAAAATGAGCAAAAAATGGGCNAGTATACAGGTGGAGGAACTCACAGCTCGCATAGCCTTGTCCACATCCCCATGCACACAGAGTACATGTCTGACATGCATGCAAGCGAAGCATGCTTGCACATGCAAAATCTTTGCATGCACTGAACCGGCAGTAATACTGTGAGCAACCCACCCCTGACATAGATAAATAAAATCTGTCTGCTATTAGGATTGATACAAGAGTGATGGCATGATCCAGGTTCAGCCATGGAAGCCATTCCCTCTTAGCATGCCTATTGGAGGAAATGGAAGGAGGGAGCAACTTTGCATGCCACCTTGAACAAGATGCAACTCTAACAAAGAAGTACATAAAGCTTAATGACTGTTGAGATTCTCAGTCATCCAGGTCATGGTTGTCCCAAAGATGCTTTTTCAAAAGGCAACTGGACTTGTTTTTCCTTAAAGATGTTTTGCTTCTCATCCAAGAAGCCTTTTCAGCCCTCTCTCAACAAAGGGAGAGAGATACGATACTACCTATCTCCTGTTTACAACACGGTCCTTTCAGCAGTTCCAAGAAGATTGCACACCCATTTGCACTCCAATTCAGGTGACATGAGGGCACAGATAAATCTCCAATGACTCTCAGAAAGAGTGCTAATGTCCATGTGACTGCAAGGAATATAAATCCTTCCATTCTCCACCATTCAGTGAGAACTGAAGAAGCTTCTTGGATAAGAACTGAAATGTCTTCAAGGAAGAACAAGTCCAAATGCCTTTTGAAAAAACCACCTTTGGGATAAAAAGCTTAACTTTGCCTCTTCTGCTTTCTGTTATTGTTTTAATTCAAAATGCATTTAATACTACCATTTATCAGCCCTGAATGAATTGTTTTAATAGTCTTATTTCTAAACTGCTTTAAATTTTGTTTTGCTATGAATGGGAAGCAGTATAAAATATTTTAAATAACTTTAAATATATAACAATTTAAATTTCATTAAATAGTGTAGAGATTAGGGATTTCCAACTTCCTTGTTTTTTTTTCCTTTGAAAAATATGTCACTCCTCCTGCAATAAGCTTCTTCATTTCTAACTACAACCACTTCACAACACATGACACAACACAGGAGAACAAACTCATCAGGCTAGGATTCAGAAGTCCATCTTCATCTGAAAGACAAGTGTCACTGTTTTGAAAATAGTGAAGTTCACATTCTGGACAGAGAGGACCACTGGTTTGAAAGAGGAGTCAAATCACCATTTATGTTAACATTGATCAGCCCTCTCTCAACAGATGGGGAGGAGCCATCACCTATCTCCTGTTGGCAACACAGTCCTTTCAGCAGTCCCAAGAAGGTTCCATACCTATTTGCCCTCTGATTCAGGTGACTCTGAGGACTGAAGTAAACCCCTAAGCGGCTTCAACAACTCTTAGACTCCCAGCTAAAGATCAACCCTCAGAATGCTAATGACCAGATGACTGCAAAAAATATACCATATTTTTCAGAGTATAAAATGCACCTTCCCCCCACAAAAAAGAGGGTGGAAATTTGGGTGCATCTTATACACTAAATACAGCATTTTTGGCCTCCTGAAAACCCGCCCCCATGCATCCCATTTTTTTCATTAAAATGGACGTGAAGAGGGTTTGGGAGGCCTGCAAAGTGCTCCTGGGGGCTGTGGAGGGCAAAAATGAGTGAAAAATGGTCCAATGCATGCCCTGCTTTTTGCAAAAAGGGCATTGCTTTTTGCTCATTTTTGCCCCCCAGCCCCAGCCCTAGGAGCACTTTGCAGGCCTCTCAAACTCTCTGCATGCCCCATTTTTCACAAAAAATGAGCCATGCAGAGGGTTTGGGAGGCCTGCAGAGTGCAATACATTTTTATTTTATTTTAACTCTTCAAAATCTTGGTGCGTCTTATACTCCAGTATAGTCTGAAAAATATGGTAAATCCTTCCATTCCCCACCAGTCAGTTAGAACTGAATAAGGTTCCTGTATGAAAAGCGAAAGGTTTTGAAAGGGAGAAAAAAAGCAAGAAAGTCCATTTGCTGGAGTTGAACTGAAGTATGAACAGTCAGACACCACTATTAACAAATCACTCAGAAATTTTCAAGGAAGGAAATAAGATTTCCCCCCCCCCATAGTTTGAAGGAGAAGGGATGAAAAAAAAACACAGAAGAAATTTTAGAGATAGTCCTACTCAGCATTACTGCAGCAAAACTTACTGTTTATGGAGAACAGCTGGAATATTGAGAAATGATAAATTACATTACTTGTATTGCTATTCCACATTTGCAAATGATGTTCTCCTTTTTTAAAGCATAACTTTTATATGTGGATTGACAATAGGAGCCCTGGTATGTTTTCACTGCTGTGAACTGCAGCTGTTCTTCATAAGTATCTCAACAAAACATCCCAAGTGGAGGTTTTCAGGTGAATATTAAAAACAACGAATAACAACATTCTTTCTTCTCTGACTCCTGGAAACCATTTTGGTGATAGTTTTGCTTATCCACTACAATTTGCACTAGATGTTGTTTTAATTTATTTCTTGAACAAAGCATGACAGGTTTATGAATCCTGTAGAATCCATTTCGACAGAACTTAGCAGTTAATAATTATGAAGGAGAAATACATTTTTATACAGATATAGCCACTTCAAATCTCCTGGACTGATTCAAAGATCAGACAACATTTGTTCAAACAACAGTTTTTCCAACTGTTTGCAATCAGGATCGTAACTCAAAAAACATGCATCAAATTGCATCCTCAGACAAGTGGTCACAAAGAATTGCATCTATCTGGAGAAAGAATATACAAAAATGTATTAGGGAGTGGGAAAGTTGCATAAATTGTTACCCACTGGCTTAAGTATAGCAGAAACTGCATGTATTAGGGGAAATGTAGACCAAAATGCCTATCAGTTTCCAGCAAGTGCTCCCCCCCCCCTTAAATTTACAAACTGTAATGCAACAATAAGTTAAAACAAACTTATGGTTAGGTAAATGAGAAACTAAGTGAAACCAAACATATTTTCTTTTTATCAGTTAGGGTGAGAGTTGATGAAACATAGATATGTTTCAACCTATCTTAAAACCAGCCCTTTAGCTACAGTCTGTATCTGTGAAGCATGTCTAGTTCTGACCAGAGAGGCTGAAAGTCTTAAATACTTGCAAATTCAGATACAAATTGCTCTGATAGGAACATTCAGGCCAGTACATTGATCAGCATTTAATTATTCACCAGCTTTTATGGGTCCTGAATAATACATCACATTAGTCAACTCAAGAAACCATTAAAATAACTTATAAAATAAGGACATACATTATGGAATTAGGTATTTTGAACTAAATGGCTCTGTTTTGTACTGCTATTTTTTATTGTGATATTGCTTTATTAAATACTGCAATGGCTGGTGGGCTATTTTTAGGTTTGATCTATTCTATATCACTTTGATATCTTAGAATGAATGACAGGTTGTAAAGCTCTCTCAATAGACAAAAAAAGGTGTGAGAGTGGAGGAGGAATTAAGAGCCAGTTTGGTCTAGTAGTTAAGGTGCTAGCTTAGAAACTAGGAAACTCTGTGTTCTAATACCACCTTAGGCATGAAAGTGACTGGGTGACTTTGGGTCAGTCTCTTTCTCTCTGTCAGCCCCACTCACCTGGCAGAGTTGTGGGGAAAACAGGAAGAGGAACAAGTATTAGATAATACTTAGGTTTACAATCTTAAATTACTTATAAAAAAAATAAAGGCGCAAGCAGTGGTGGATTTTTTTAAAAAAAAATTACTACTAGTTCTGTGAGCGTGGCTTAGTGGGTGTGGCAGGGGAAGGATACTGCAAAAACCCCATTCCCTCCTCACCTGCTTTCTAGCTCCATTCTCCTGTGCAGGGCAACAAAAGAAGATCCAGCCCAACTGCTCGGACTTGGGAGGCAGTGAATAGATGGGGCGGGGCCAGCCAGAGGTGGTATTTGCCAGTTCTCTGAACTACTCAAAATGTCCCCTACTGGTTCACCAGATCCAGTCAGAACCAGCTGAATACCACCTCTGGGTGTGAGAGAAATAAATTAAAGTGGATACAGACCAGGGAGATCCATTTTGAAATCTTGCCTGTTGAAATAAGAAAGAACAGGTAATCCTTCTCTGCTTTTTCAGGCCATTACTCACTCAGCACTGTGCATTTTTGCTAATATTGCTAATATTAAATGCCTTTGGTGAGTGGAGAATGTGGGAGAGGATGCTTGTTCTCTGTTGTCTCGCCCGACAACAGCGCACTGGCAAAACCGCGGCGATAAAACCGCAACATCGACAGTGCGCCCACAAAGGCACATTGACAAAAGAGCGTCAACAGAAGTGCGATTAGGGTTAAGGTAAGGGTAAGGGTTAGGGTTAGGGTTAGGGTTAAGTTTAGGGTTAGGGTTAGGGTTAAAGTGCGCTTTTATCGGCGCGCTGTTGTCGGCGTGCTTCTGCACTCATTCGTCGGCGTGCTTTCGAACTCGTGGTTTTCTCACCGTGGTTTTGGCGGCAAGCTTTTGTCGCGCGCACATTTGTCGGTGAACCTTGCCCAAGAACTCTCTTCATACAACTACAGAGAGCTAGCAACTGTCAGCTTCATTTGGTACTGTTTTACAATTTTTTTCATTTAAAAAATGACCCATATGAGAATTCAGCAGTTGCAAAGTGAACTGAGAAGAAACCTCATCCTTGATCAGCTTTAGTTGAGCTACTTTGAAACATA